TTCCTACTTCACCTCTTTAGGTTTCAATTTAAACTGTATGTATAAAAATTGGAGAAAGTATTCCAACATGCAGAGTTGTGTATTTATAGCATATATATATATTAGGTACTTGGGTAAAGCTCAATGCTTACTGGGGCAAAATGAGATTTGCCTTTGCCATATATCCTCAGACATCTTTTATTTTTCTCCATATATTAAGAGTTATAAAAACCAGAATACATTTTCCGATCCATATAGGCACTCACTCGGGGGAGGGCCTGTTTTCTTTTACTTCCTAGTGCTGGATTAAATCATTGGTGTACTTTACAGCTCTTAACTTTATTTTACCTCGGAGACCTCTAAATCCAGAGAGTATACTGTATTTACTAATCTCAGTTCCTTCGAATGATCAGTGATCGATAATGTTTTAAACCATAAACAATCGGTTTAAACAGGAAATGGAGATACTGTTGCAGAGAGGCACTTAATCACAATTAGTTTATAAAAAGCTACCAAGAGAGGTCACTTGAGGACAAACTAATGCCTGACCTTACTGGTGTAAGATATATTTATATATATATATATATACACACACACACACACACACACACACATATACTTGCATATTTTATTTATAACCAAAGTTGTTTAGAGAAGTAAAGATTTAAGATGGACTTCAAACAGAGTCATAAATGAGAAGTATATGATAACTCTGGAGAGAGGAAAAACAAAAAAAACCCAAAAAACCCTAAAACTAAAAAGCAAGAGTATGGTCCTAAAATGAAGCCCAGGAGAGACCTGCATTAAGTAAAATTCCTTCAACAAATGCTATAGGAATCCAAAAAAAATTTAAATATATGTAATTTATGAGTTATGAAAAACATCAAGAGAACTTTTCTGCTGGAAACGGGGCTGGCTAGAAACAACTTAGTTCCAAAGAAACTGGAGATCCGGGGTCTCTGTGGCATGTGGGAGCACTACTTATGTCCTCAGGACCTGCGGTGTCCCAGGAGAAGGACGGTGCTTTTGGTGGGCCAAGGAGATTGCGTGAAAATAATAATGATAAAACTCCCAGGGGCCTGGCTTCTGGGAAGCCTCCCACGCTCCCAACTTCACCAATTATCTCATTTTCATAATAAGCCTACACTTTCCATAATTGCTTCTCGTCCATCAAGAGGTACATCACCTTCCAAGGCAAAGAATTTCAGCTAGTCTGCCGAAGAGATGTTTATTACAAATAAATAAAACGAAGAAGTCAGCCTATGAACTCACTTGCAAACGAGTGGATTTGATGGATTCTTATGGATGTGGATGTCCATAAGGCCTTTTGGGGATCTCCTATTTTCTTTTCCCATCTCCTAATCATCTTCAAGAACAGATAGTAGGGACCAGCAGTTGGCGTAATGGTTATGTCACTGGACTCCCATGTAGTCGACCACGGTTGGAGTCCTGGATGGTGGCTTGAACTTACGCCAGGCGCGTGTGCGTGCGTGCCCGCCCAAGATCCCAAGAGGAGAATGGAGAAGAGATGGTGGCATGTCCATCCCCAATGCGGGGAGGGATTTCTCACTTTCTGTCTGTCTTTCTGGCGAGCCCACGCGCCCTGTAGCAAAAACCTCTAAAAAACAAAACAAAACAAAGGACACACAGTCAAGGTCCAACTCCCAACTCAAAGGGAAACATTTCGTCCAAGCTCTCTAGCAGGTGCAATTAGAACTGGGGGCATGATTACATCTTGCCTGCAGGAGAAATTCCAAAAGTCAGCGCAGTACCGTATTTCTCTAAATCACCCCACTCCCTTAAAGCGTCTGCTTGGACAAATTGCTGGGCTTCTCAGAATCGACAAGAACACGACAAAAAAACATTCATTTCTTCACAGGGATGACATGAGGGAGGAGTCCAATGCAGTGGGCCCTGCCCAATCGTGCAGGTTTTATTAAATAGGCAGATACCCGGGTCCACTGGAGGCACGTTGAAAAAGCAGCAGACCTGGGCAATGAGTGCCCTAGAGGAGTCTTCAGGTCGGGAAGCGCTGAGGCATCCTGGAAAGTACTTAGCAGAGTAATCCTAACAATCAGCCCGGGCCAGGTTCCTCCCTCTGACGGGCAATCCCCACCAGTGCGCACAGGCGAACCAAGGGGCCCACAGGCGTCTAGAAAAGGTCTTAGTTCGTCCTTCCCGGGGGAGGGTGGACGGGTGGGCCTCGCCCTCGTTGTTCTGAGCTCCAGATCGCTGCTCTGAGCTCCAGATCGCGCCCGCCCAGCCTCCCCGGGTCCGGCGGGGCCGAGCGCCTCCGGGTTCGAGGTGCGCCCGGTGGCGAGGGTGCCAGGCGCGGCCGACTGAGTCAGTCGCCCAACTAAGGTCTTAGTTCGTCCTTCCCGGGGGAGGGTGGACGGGTGGGCCTCGCCCTCGTTGTTCTGAGCTCCAGATCGCTGCTCTGAGCTCCAGATCGCGCCCGCCCAGCCTCCCCGGGTCCGGCGGGGCCGAGCGCCTCCGGGTTCGAGGTGCGCCCGGTGGCGAGGGTGCCAGGCGCGGCCGACTGAGTCAGTCGCCCAACTATGCTGCGGAACCAGGGCGGCCGGCTCAGCCGCCCCCCCGGGCCCGGCGGGGCGGAGCGCCTCCGGGTTCGAGGTGCGCCCGGTGGCGAGGGTGCCAGGCGCGGCCGACTGAGTCAGTCGCCCAACTATGCTGCGGAACCCGGGCGGCCGGCTCAGCCGCCCCCCCGGCTAGGGTTC